ACACACACACACACACACACACACACACAAACACACACACACACACACACTCACTCACTCACTCACAATCAATCAATCAATCAGTCAATCAATCAATCAATCAATCAATCAATCAATCAATCAATCAATCAATCAATCAAGCAAACCTTTTTTATTTATTTATTTTATTTTTAAATTGTGCATCTTTATTTTTCTAAAACACCTCATACCCCTGCAGAAAATAGAAATTCATTTCTAAAAAATACAGGTGAACTCAATGACCATATATCTGATGATAAAATATGGAAAAAAAAAATTCCGACTTTTCTTTCTTTATTGTTTTTTTAATTTTCTTTTAATCGAATTAAGTTTTTGATTTTTAAAAATCCTAAACAAAGTCGGATTAAAAAAAAAACAAATATGGGGTTGTAGGGATTAAAATTCCCCACAACCCCATATATATATATATATATATATATATATATATATATATATATATATATATATATATCGTCAAATAGAACTGCCTGTTAAATATATATATATATATTTTGGGGCTATTATTTAATTCAGGAAAAATCTGGTAAAATCGGGTCCGCAGCACAGATCCGGTAGGCCGCGGAGGCGGCCGTGAATACGTCCGCCCTCCGAGCTCGGCCCCGCGGACGCGTCCGCGGGTTGAAGGATGGGGTTGACTGTCATCCTTTCGAAACCGGGTTTGCCGATTGGGTAGAATGTGCAGCGTGTGTCAATCGTGCGCACGGGGCCTGCGTTCGCTATCGGACGAGTAGCAAGGAGTGGAGGTGCCCCCTACGTAGAACGGCCAAACTTCCCACATAGGTTCGATTCGAGGCCGCCCGAATGGACGGACCTAAATATGACGAGAAATACCGTCGAGTGGAGGTTTGGACAGATAAAATTTTATTAGCCAAATTAGCGGGATTATCATTCGGTCACCTCACCAAACACGACAGAAGTAGGGCTACAAGAGATCTCGGGACTATCGATGGATCAATGGTCATTTGGAGAAGCGTAAAATTGACGGATCGGGTTCGTGGTTGACAGTTCCTCATCCATTCTAGAGATACGATTGGACCTGATCTGCTCAGGAAGAGCAGGCCGCTCATTTCGCGATACGTGTCACGGAGGCAGCTATAGACGAGAACGGATGGTTCTGGTCCAATATACGAGATGATGTCAGATACGTTGTCGCCAACTGACTGGTCTGTGTCGCTGATCGCACCCCGATACGGGGACCAAACACGATAGTACCAACGGAAGTAGAACGCCCTTTCCAGCGAGTCAGTATGGACACGACAGATATTGACGTGCCACCTGGCCCAAACCGCTGTGAATATTCTATCCTTTTAGAGTTAATAGATCATTTTTCCAAGTACATCGAGGTCTACCCCTGCAAGACCCGCAAGGCCGCATAAATAGCCACGTACATCGATCGGTTTCTCTATACCCATCTAGATACGGAAGAAATTCTGACCGACATTGGGTCCGAATTCAAAGGCGAAGTAGAGGAACTGCTCGCGCGAAGGGGCATCACGCTCTGACATACGGCGCCCCACATGTCTCAGTCGAACGGGTTGGCCGAAAATGCAAACTGTATGATCAAAACCGCCCTTTGCAGGAATTGAGCGGCACATGACACGCGTCCGTGGCCTGAGATCGTGTATCAGATCGTCGGAATTCACCGGGCCACCCCTCATGAGTCCACGGGGTTCACCCCCTTTCAGCTTCGCACTAATAGCATCCCCTGTGTCGACTACCGGGGTAACTCGGAGATTGTCGAAGAAGGGGACAGAGACACGCGTGCCACCCTCAAGGCCAAGGCCAAAAGGTATACCGATTCAATGGAATGGGCCGTCCCGAAGCTAGCCCGAAAAAGACAGAGGATGACCGATCTGGCCCACGGTAGGCAGGTCCGTAGCTATGAGGCTCGAAATGTGCACGCGACCGGAAACTTGCTCCCAAGTTTTCTGGCTGTTTTCACGTTGTCGAGCTCGGACCCAACGGCGCCAACACGGTGCGCATCGCGCCCAAGGCTAGTGCCACCCATAGCTCTGTCCCCATCGTCCGACATACCTCCTACCTCTGACCTCTCCCTCCCTCTGATCTTCCCCCTTCTTCCTCCTCCGAAGGCGAGGAAAACGACGATAATCTAACTCTATCTCCGCTCTCTCCCTCCTGCCCGTTCGTCTTCCTCTCCGTCCTCGTCGTGAGCTTCATCAAGGAGAGGGCTCTCGATGATCAACTGTTGCAGCCACGTGGCCACATCTCGGAAATTCGGCAAGTTCGTCATCCACGGCTTAGTACGGATCTTAGGCGTCTGGCGCAGTTCTTCTGCGACGTGGGTGTGTGTGCAGCCGCCGCGTTTCGATTCGAAGGGAGTCGGCAGGCAATAGTATTGGCGGAGGTGGTAGCGGTACATCGGCTAGCGGCTCCTGGAACGAGCCACGTTACCACGGTCGCGGCTTTCAGCGGCGACATCAGTACGGTCAATCCACTGTGGCATACCGCGATCTTGACCTCGCTGCGAGAGTGGACGGAGCAGGTGTCCAACGTGTGGCAGCACGGTCTTGCCCAACCAGGGCACAATCTCATCCCGACCTTTGCACCTGATCTTCACGGGGTCCGCCTCTCTCCGCGCAAGCCAACAGTTGCGATCCCCGCCCTCGTTGCTTTCCCACGCCCGCGATGAACCACGCCGCCCCCCTCGCTCTTCTCTCCATCTTCGGTCTCCCATCTCTTTTCCCTACCTTTTGGAAGTCTGATCTTCATCCTCATGTCGATCGAACCCCTTTCCGTCCCGCTTCTTAATCCCATGCATTGGCGACTTTGGCGCGAGACCTTTGTCGAATTGTCCATGTGTTTGGCTCGAGTGCAAGTGACGTGGACGCGGACCAACGAGCATCCCGCGTGGCTCGAAAATCTGGAATTGTTGATCATACAAGCTTGGAGGACTAACGTGGAGGATGATCTCCTCAGTTTTCTCTTCGGATCGGTGCGGCCAAGACATCGCCAGCTAATCGCTCAAGAACTCATCGTGCAGATCGTGCAACTAGCGGATGATCTCTCTCCTGACATCGTTTCGCAAAGCGACGACAGCCCCGCTTCGCACGCACTCACGCGAATGTTGGATTCGTATCTTCAGTGGAGTGCATGCTTAGAAGAGCCTCGGGACGAAGACTCTCTACCGTCGCGGCAGGAGTATCTGAAGCCATACGGCATCATCAATCACGCTTTCTATCCGAAGGCAGAGGAGGTGGTGATAGAAGAAGAGGAAAGTGACGACGACGAGGAAACATCGGAAGAGGGAAGCTATAACGAGTATAGCGAGGGCAAGCAGAGCGAAGAAGAAGAAGAAGAAGAAACCGGGTCTGAGTGGGAAGCCTTGCCGGAGGAAGCGGCGCGTTCTGGCAAGGAGGCGGAAGATCCTGAGGCAGCGCGTAAGCGGGAAGAAATCGCCACCGGGAAACGCCAGCTGGAGTTCGCCAGCGGAGCAAGCGTGCGCATCGGTGACGATCCGACCAGGGATCCGGAGCCGCCGAAGCCCGAAGATGGGGACCCAGCAACCGCCACCCCAAGCACCTCACGGCGGAGACGGAGCCAGTTCTCCTCCCCCTCCAGCCCCACCCGTCCCCCTGTTCGTCCACATACCGATGCGGGGGATAGGCCTTCGTCCCCGGACATTATCCCGCCGTCCCCTTGATCACCTCACCCTCGAGCAGATCCATACCCCCGTCACCTTCCCCCGCCACCCCTTCCATCCCCATCTCTTCCGTGATTTGTACTCTACGCACCTAATCGCTACCGTCTACCCCCACCGCTCCCTTCAGCCCGCTGCCCCCACGTTCTGTCTGCATATCCTGTTGTTCAGCGCTGCGTGGGAGAAGTGCAACATACTAGAAGTCTACTGCGTAGCCACGGGGACGATTCCCGCCTGTCGTCACTACGATTTCTTTCGCGCAACGCTCTTCCACACCCTCTCCTCCCTCTACCGCGACTACCGCGCCTCTCTCCCTCATAGCGGCGATCGCTTCCCTCGTTTTCATCGGATCATTCGCTATGAGGAACTCCCAGTGACAGTAGAAGGGTTGAATCACTACCCACCCCCACTTCCTCCCCGTCGTCCCTGCGGACTTCCCTCCATGTACCGCCTCTATTGGCCCATTCCAAAAAGGCGGTATAACCCAATCGCATGACTATTCTCTCCCCCCCCCTCCCTTCACCCAATTGACAGGGGAAAACACCACGAATCAGTAAGCTTCGGGAAGATCACGCCATCAACGATGACGTCAACCTACGTTCTGATTCGACGAGCCGGAGTGCAGAGCACACGGAGAACCAGCGGACAATGATGGCGTCACCTGGACGMCCTCCGACGATTCCAGCAGCACGAGCCAGTAGACTCACGAAGAGATTGCAATTGAAGTTGGCATCAACATGAACTCTGGCTCGATTATCTGCTGATACACTTGGTTCCTCATGCATCACTCTTCCCCCTCTTTCCTTCTCCGCCGTGACATGCAATCAGGAGATTGCATAATTTTGGAACCCACGGCGCGTCACATCTGTGACGAGCTACTTCCCGAACCCGTGCTATCTTTCGTACCCCTTTGGTTTGAATTTTTCTTGTATCATACCGACCCTACAAGCACCTCGTTTGCTTTCTTGATTTCCGACGCCGCGTTTTGGGCCCCCATCTTCCGGAAGCTTTTGTGATTCTTCGATTCCGCTTTTTCTTTTGCAATTCGGGAAATACATAGGAATTTACGTGCGCCTTAGCGAGCGCACTTGGAATTGGGTCCGGCAGTTGGGAATTCCGGGATAAGCGGAACTTCCACGTGTCCTTTTTGTGTGGGAATGTTCTCGGTCGCGTTGGAGAAAACTCTTGGAATTTTGTGAGGATACGAAGAGGCGTAGGACTTTCTTTTCCCGCGTCGTCCTTTTCGCGCGCGGATATGGTGATATCAATTTTGAATTGGCTTAGGACATAGGCAAGCTGTAACTATTTCGGTGCCTTTTCTCTTTTTGTTGACGGCGCCACACATACGAAGCTTTCTTCTCCCCCCCCCCCCCCCCCGCTATGTTTCCTGCATCGTTCTCTCCCGCGCTCTTTCCTCCTCCCCCCTTCTCATCCTCCCTTCTCGCAACTGTTTTCCCTCTCTCTCTCCCGCTCTTATTGGTTGCCCACACATTTCCCTTTCTTGATCATCTGAATCTTGGACCCGTCTTGCGCTACTTCTCGCGCCCTTTTTCCTTTCGCCTTCCGAACGTGAATCGGAAGCCCGGTCGATCCTTCGATTACTCTCGCCCACCAATCAGACGCGTGGTACGATAGGATCTCCCTATTGCGCAACGAATCTGATTGGCGAAGCTCAGAGTCCCGAAGGATCAACATGGCTTCCGTAGTGCGCTCCCCGCCAAGTCTTCTCCTCCTGCTTCTTTTCTTAATACACTTCGATTTTCCCCCTGCCTTCTCTCTCCCTTGCCCCCCTTCTCGCCACTATAAATTTCGCAAACGCGCCCGAAAATCTCTCTTACGTTCTTAACTCCCAAGCCAGCTTCCGGGAAGCAGTGGCTAGGCAGAGTGTTTGGTGCGAATCGAAAAGTCCTGTCGGGTTGACGATAGGCTGATCGGTTGCGCGCTTGATCGCCACGACGGACTGTGGGATCAGGGCAAACCGCGTCGAGCTTACGTCGGCGGGGTGACGATCGCAGTCATGGGAGTTAGCATGCGCGACGGCCGGGATCGTCGGTGCGGGTATGAGGATCGATGATTGGAGCTGAGTCGGTGATTCATCTCCTATCTCGACCTTCCTCCGTCGTCTCTCTCTCTGTCCTCTATCTTTGAATGACGATGTGTCTTGATGCTTGTCCCTCTCATGAATGAGAATGAATTTGTGTGCTCTCCTGTATGAAGGAACTTCTTTCGGAACTCTTCCATTAGTTTCCAGGGTAATCCCCGGATGTCGAGGAATTGGTCCTCTTGTCTTGTGAACGATGGATGGCTGTGTACAATTCCCTCAGTTGATTTCTGACCTGTGCACCCCCGTCATTTTCGCACCTTCCGCAGTGAATGTATGTATGAAGATGCTTGCCTTTTTGTATTGATTAGACGCCGCACTCGGCGGGATTTTGTTCGAGAATGCAAGAGTGTTTAGATCTGTAGTTCTGAATGCACTGCGCATGTCATCTGCCTTATGCTGCACGACATCTGCAACCGATCTACAGGGCAGCCTCGAGAAACAAGGCGCCTTGGATCAACGCCGCGGCGACTTACTAAACCTTAGTCGCGGGTCGGTCCCTCAGTTACATGCATGATCAAGCTCGTGAGTGTTCTCTCTCTCTCTCTCTCTCTCTCTCTCTCTCTCTCTCTCTCTCTCTCTCTCTCTCTCTCTCTCTCTCTCTCTCTCGTGTCGAAAAGAATTGATTGGTGGTTGTGCGAATGTTTCTCCTTGATGACGTCTCGGGATTTTTGCAATTGATTGACATGTGGACTGACAAACGCCCTTCGATCGGGCCTCCCGTATCTCCCGTATCAACGCGACCTTTTCCTTACGACGAGGAAAGGACACGTGTATGCGAGTGGGACGTACAAGAAGCTGTCGCACGGATCGGCGATCGATATTACTTCCCTCCGGAAAATCGTTGTTAAGGGTTCGTAGAGGCTGGGTTTGTCATTATCGATACACACTTTCCACCTTACTCGATATTGTTGCCATTTAACGAGTTGATCGTCATCCCATGATCGTCACCTTACTCGAGTTTAACTAGTTGATCGTCATCCCGTGGACCGAGTGCCAGCGCTTTGAGCGCTACGAATCCAAGGGTTTCCACTACCGCGTACGGAGTAAGGACGAACATAGAGAAAGAGCCAGATGACTAAGGCCCTCCACGTCGGACTCAGTCGGACTCAGAACTGAGTGGTGAACGACGTCGGGACTTAATACGAAGACGAGACACGCGAAGCGTGCCGAAGCCTTTTCGCTCTAAACGAAGGGCCGTAGCACGGTGGGAAGTCCGACAATACTTTTTGGATTGAATTTATATTTCTCTCTCCTTTCGCACCGAACTCTCGCGCGCATTTTGCGACGTGCAAAAAAGGGTCGACTTACTCCATCGGACCAACACGGGGGATTTCAGTTTCGTATTTGTCCCCACACTCAATTTCCAAAAATCCTTGGCACACCCCATCTTGCTGTTTTTCTGGGCCCCTTTTCCACATCTCTAGCACTCCGAACGAAAGACAGCACAGGGCGTGAGGTTTTGCGCGTCACACGTACCGCTGCCGGTCGACGCAAGTCTCCGAGGCTGGGGGGGATGAGCTGCACTCCCGTTGTTTCGTTTCGGGACGGGTTCATCGAGTGATCCCCGTCGAACGGTACTAGTCTCGCTGCTGGCACTCAGAGCACGGCAGAAGGGGCCAGAACTCAGCTATGGACTCCCAAGGGGCGACAAGTAGTTGGTGGTACGGGAGGACGACGTAATAGGGAGGGAAACTAGTGGTGATGGCCACGAAGCCTAGGGTTAGAAGGTAATGCTGGCTTCGGCTGTCGAGATACTCCGGGATCCGCGAGTCCCGATTGATGGCCAACTGGAAATCGCCTCTGCACAGTTGCTCGTTTCAAGTTCGGCAGGGGTACTCAGGTTTCCGTGAGTTTCGTTGTCGTCTGGCTTGTTGCTGTCTGACATGTTCCCTTTCCCAATATGCTCGGTATTTTAGATATCTCAGGCTCTCACGGACGATCATCCAAAAAAAGGGAGTTTCGATCGCCATATCCTATTTAGCGGAGTTTGGTGCAGGCATCTTCGACGAGTGGGATCGGGTTGGCTCTTGCACGCGCGCGCGTAGGCTTCAGGTCACCCCTGTGGGCGACTGTCTTACACATGCGTGCGCATGAGCTAGTCGATCGGATCAAAGGCTGCGTGCAAGTTCGTCGCCAATGAGCGATTTGCCTATGTGTCGGTTTATCCTATATGCATGGTGTTAGTCCTTCCGTGCGACTGTTATCCAAATCTCAGGCAGACTAATCATTGCATACATGCTCACACTATCATATACAAGAGAGGGCAGAGTTAGTTTAGTATCCCGAACCAACGCACCCCGTGATCCTTGCAATCATGCACGACTCAAGAAAAAGCAAGTGATTGGACAAGATGCGCGCGAGGTCATACGCGCAACACAGACGGGTACTCGAAAGTGACGAAATCAAAACAAAATTGGAGATTAAAGAGAACTCAAAAAGGGGGGACGTGAGTTCATTCACTCTCATGCATACATACACACAAGGCAGATAGTCCGAGATGACTCACACAAAAAATCCGAAGGTGCCGCAACAAAATTTACCAATATTGGAATAAAATTTTTTACATAGAAGGTAAGGAGAAAAAAACATTGTTCCAAGAAGGTAAGGAGAAAAAGACATTGTTCCACCATATCCCCATCTCGCTCTCTCTCTCTCTCTCTTTCTTTCTTCTCTCGATGCAGCAGTCCATCGCCCGCATCTCCAAGCCACACAGAGTCGTCACCCCGCTTGGCCGGAGTGTGCAAGTCAGGTTCACCCACGTGCCGCAGTCCGTCGCGACCACGCGTCAACCCTGCGCACTCAGCACCAGCTCGTCAGATTGCCCAACTCTCATGCTCACTCACCTTCCAAAACTTACTCGTTAGCCGACCCTTACTGATCGCGCTAACCTCGAGGTTCTTAGAGAGATAACTAATCGCGCTTCCGAAATTTATAGCATGCATGCTTACGAGAGGGATACGGGATTAGCACCAAG